TTCTCGCGGCCATTGAAGTCTCAGAAATGAGTCATTCCGCCTTTCACCGGTGGCACATTAGCACTGCGATTGGCATAACTTTCGTGTTTCCCTCAGACAGTTCAGGGCTGTACAATCAAGGAATGTCGTACATCTTCAGAGTGGGTGGCAATGTAGCGAAGGCTTGCGTAACTCAAAAGCTCTAATATTTTGAGTGTTAACTTTAATTGTAATTAATGGTGCTACTTCTGATGCTCAGAGCAGAAAGTTTAATGCATTATTTATCCATAGATTTGTGGTAGCCACTTGAGTGCATTTAATATAACTGAGACCTTGTTTTCAATCGGTGCTCCTGGGCTTGTTCTGGTTACTTTGGGGCATAAGAAAGTTAATAGTTGGTCCAGTGCTTTTGTAAATATCAAGGGTATCATTGGATGCTGAGTTGGTTAACCTAATGATTTTTTTTCAAACCATTGGTATGTACGAGTTGATTAAAAAAAAAAAAGCAGAGGCTTCTTAAATATAGTCTGTTCTGAATTAAAGGGTGTGGTGTTGGCTTTGAATGAGCTTGATGCAGCAACAAGCATGCAGCAGTTGGTAAATAAAGATGGATTTTCTTTTGTTCTGCTGGTGCTTGCTGCTCATTATTCTCCACTTACCCCGTGAGCTTCCCAGGGAGTGGCAGCTGTTTCTGATGTTAGACACTCTATCAGTGGTAGACAGCTCCAGATTCAGTGAGATACTGTTGTGGGGAGGAGAGGAAAATAGCCTAACCCTGCATTATTGTAAATCCTCAGTAGAATTAACTTTTCATGAACCAAAAGAGTTTTGTGTTTAACTTTTTCTGAAATATTCAGGCGTAAGTGTGCTTTGCAGTACGTGTTACTGTGAAAAAGCTTTTCTGGCATGAAATGGATTTACATTGTAAGTGTGTGTTAAGTATTTTAATGTGCAGTGTGTGGGGGCAGACACAAGGCAATAAAGGAAAATCGGTCTATAACAATCTTCGTGTATATTTCCAGATATATACAGTTTGGGAATCTTTGCAATTTGGAAATCGCTTGGAGTAAACAGAATGGTACATAAAGATTTTAAATAATAAAGCTAGCAAGCTACAGAGGAGTCTATTTCATTCCAGGATTTTATATGTAGGATTTATAACCCATGCTTTTGCTTTCCTGTCTCTGCAGTGTTAGCATTCTGTTACTGAAAACAAAGAAGGCTCTGCCAGGGCATTACACAAGCAATGAATCACAGAGGAAAAAATGTTTTGCTTTGTAAATTGTTCACTTTTCCATGGTGGATCATTATTATTATTTTTTTTAGTGTTGTCTGATAGAATTTGCCACACATGCTTGCATTTACTGTACTTGGTACAGTTCTTCTAGTGTGACTACGTAACTAATAATATCAGTGACTTCAAGTAACTTCTTGCTTATGATTCTTAAAAACAAAACCGCAACAGGAACAAAAAACAGAGGCAAAAATTGAAACATCTCAGTTCACTCTTCAGGCATGACAGCTTACTGAGTATATCAGAGGAAGGAAAAGGTGTTAATGTTTTTCAGTCAGCTTTGTCCCAGCGGTTCCACGTAATTATTTTTTGTCTGTATTGACGAACTCCTTTTCTGCCTAAAATATTCAGATTTTCTGTCGTGATCAACGTGGTCCTCACAGGCTGTAGGAAGTTTATAGTGTTTTAGCTAATCATAAAAATATTGTTTCTTAAGAATATGCACTTCGTACATTTTCTTGCTGACTGTGTTGGTGAATCTGTATTTCAGAACTTCTGTAGAGAAACGATAGTCTTGAATGTAAAATTACACTTACAGATTATCTGATTGGGAAGTCATACACTAGGCAATGTCTTGCCACTTTGCGGCAAGATGGCAGAAGTATAACCTCAGTGTGTTATATAGTAAAATTTATACCACAGATGCTGCAGTGTGCCTCATACTGTCCTTGGCAACAGCAATAATCAATAATATGTATGCTTGCCATATTACAGGATTCATTAAGCTCCAGACATGTGGAAGAAGTTGTTTAAAATCATGTTACTTATTTGCACATTAAAGAGGGGGATCAGGAACTGGAACCAGAACCAGCTAAAGCAATGGATAAGTGAAGGTCCAAGTAGAATGGTCCTTGCAAAATGCCTGGCAGTAATGAAATCCTTGATTTTTCACACAGAAAGAGTGAAGAAAGAGTGAGTGTGGAGGAGGATGCTATATTTGTATGGAATACACCATTTTAAAGACTATGCGATTAATCCTGTTAGATGATGTGCTTCTAACAGAGAAACAGATCGGTGGAATAAAGCTGTAAGAAAGTATGAGAGCCAAACATAAGCATCTAATCTAAGAGGAAGAGTCTCTTGTGACAATACAGTGTAATTTTGTGTAAAATTATGCATAGTTCACTGAAAATAACCAGATAATAATTTCAGAATCTGCAAAAAATGAATGTCTCCTCTGTAAATACCGATGGGGAAGGCATGTAGCATAGATTAGGGAGTAAGAGAAATGGAAACTCTCTGTCTTGCCCCTCTTCAGATATTTTTTCGTCCCATCCAATCTGGATTTAGTCCTAAATGCAGGTATGATAAGGGCTATGAGATGGTTTCTAGGTCTCCTGGGTCTGCTTTATGCAAGAGAAGAAAATACCAACGTGTCAGGTACGTAACAGTGTGTTCCAGAATCGTGATAGTCCGGGCAGCCGCCTCCCCGACCTGCTTACCTGGCAAACCTTTCGGCAAGAGCTAGGCTGAATGCGCCGTGTATCTTCTTGTCCCTATAGTCACATCTGTGGCGTAATAGTAATGAGATTGGAGTAATCTCGCTGATCTGGGCTGAGTTGGACTGGTAATTTAAATGTGAAAGGCTTCATAATCTCCCACTGATCCCGGAAAGTTTTCAGCTTTTAATTAAGGTCAGAATTAAAAAGGCGACAACAACAAAACCTTCTACATTTACTGCCTTGCTTATAAATGTTAGGCCATGACAGCTATAGGTGAGTTCTGAAATTCCTAAAGCGACAATGACATTTTTGTAAACCCCTTATAGGTTAGTATAACACTTGCAGCTGTAACAGACGTTTCTAAAAGAAAGACTGAGGTTTGTGCTCATTCCTTTTCCTCTCATCTTTTTGCCTTGTGTGCAAGAAACATCAGTACAAATGGGTATTTTCTGCAGACATGGCCACTGTTGGAAAGGTAGCTCTGTGTGACTCTCTCCTCTGGTTCGGTAACTCTTAGGTTTTTGCTTTAGATTAGAAAATTAAAAGCCTAATGAGGACTAAACAGGTGAAAGCAGCAGCTAGGTGTGTGCGCGCCCATGTCTGCATGGCATGGGCGTTGGTGTTGCTTGCGCTTCTCTGTGCGGGAGAGAAAAGTATGAGTCTGAACAGAGGAGAAATGACACAGCTGGTGCCCGAGGCAGGTTGAAGCTGCACCACAGAAGGAGAGGAGGTCTGTGGGGAGAGGAAGGAGGCAAAGCAGCTGCAGGGGAGTTCCTGGGGCAGGGTGCACATCGCTGGGAGAGAAATCACTGGCGGAGGAGAGCCGAGCAGCAGGAAGAGAGAGTGTGAGCGGAGCCTGGGAGAGCAGCAGAAGGTTGCCAGAGCCAGCAAATCTGGGGAGCCTTTTCTTCTCACTGCTCTTGGTGGTTGTTTGAAGAGCTCGCCAGCACATGAAACCGTGGGCACTGGGTACCAGCCGCTGCAGGGGCAGCCTCGCAGGGTGTGCAGGCGCGCTCCTGCTGCGGCAGATCTGAAAGAAGCTTGGCTCCTAGTCTGCTCCCTCGTCCTCTCCCTGACGCTGAACAAACAAACGAGAAACCATACTGGAGGGAGGAGGGTATAGCTGCTGCCCAGCTGTGGGTGCTTTGTAGTGACCACTTCTGTTTTTAATTTTTTTTTAAATCAGTTGTTGTTGGGGTGAGCAGAGTTGGAAAAGTGTGGCTGGTACTCTGATTTGAATAGCACCTTGAGTGAGGCTTTTGTGGTGCAGCCGATAGAAACATTACTGCAGGACCTTGTAGGACCTAGAGGCCCAGCTTGGCACCATGTAGAGCTATTTAAGGTTCTGGAGAGACTGCCTGGGAAGAGGACAACATGGGCAATGAGCAAAGGGGGAAACTGAGGCACATTGACAAAGTCATCTAGAAGAGCCACAGGTGGAACCCCTGTCTTCCTTCCCTGAAGCCCAACTGAGTAAATCCAGTAAAAAACTGAGGTTTTGATCAACTCTTTTCTTTTTATTCTACGGCTGGAGATTTTGAACATGGCTGTAACACAGTCACATGACTGTTACCTGCGCAGGTTAGTCAGATGAGCAGTAGCATGGTGTGTGCAAGGGATGTTTTTCTGACAAAAGTGGAATATTGTTCAGAATAGGTGTTCGTTTTCTTCTTTGTGGTGGCTGTACATCATCCAGTGTTTTCCCCTTAATATTGTGATATATCATCTCATGTTTCACGCTTGAGATGTTGTGAGAGGAGTGAGTGATGTTATGTAACTTAAGCAGAGAATTATCTTCTTACGTTCTAAAAGTGACGGTTGGTTTGATAAAGCAGTTGACTAATTAGTAAATTACCCATTGTTGTTTAAAATACTTGCGCTGCAAAATGTAAATGAAAAAAATTTCTCCACTTGTCAGTATGAAAAATGACAATAGCAAAAATAATACATAGGACATCTGCTCTGATTTTTTTAAAATTTAAAATGCATTTAAAGCAGATGTTGCAGAATTTGAATGGAAATCGGAGTAGATGGAAGAACAAAACATAGCTGTTTACCTTTTATGAAGTCCCATTTTTATGGTTAACATCACTAGCAATATCTGACTCAGTGCCTGTATTTTTCCACTGTTTGTATCAGAATGAACTGAATGTTCTTAAAACTGCTGCTGCTATGTCAGGATGACATATAGTTTCAATATTAAAAAAAAAAAAAATTGTTGGCGAGTCAGTATTTCGGGGTGTCTTCTGATGATCTCTCACTTTGCCCGTCCTTTCTTTCCAGGAGAATACATAAAAACATGGAGGCCGCGGTATTTTCTTTTAAAGAACGATGGCACGTTCATTGGCTACAAGGAACGACCACAGGATGTCGACCAGCGGGAATCGCCTCTAAATAACTTCTCAGTAGCTCGTAAGTGTTTTTAAATGCTTCCTCGTCCAGTTTAGGGGTTGATGTCTTCTTGTAGTCATAGTGCCTGTAAGCTGCATCAGTAACATTTGAATCTGCCCAGAGCAATGTATCTAAACACTAAACGTGTTTATTTGAGATGATAAACCCCCTGTGTTTCTCAGGAATGACTGTGATGTGGAGGTTTGATACTCTGCCTTTTTTTTGCAGTTTTCTACTAATTTACCGTTTTAAAGCAACTGCAAGTTGCTTTAAAGTGAAAATTAACCGAGGCACATGTCTTGGTACCTGGCAGGTAGGCACAGCTGAAATGTTTCAGCCTCTGTTCTGCTGTGAGATCTGGATTCAAGTGGCATTGACATAGGTCAAAGTTATTTGATTGTTAGCATAAGAGAACATGGAGTGAGCATTGCTTTTAATGAAAGACACTCAGTTTTTCTTAATTTTCAGCACAAAATCATATTTATTCTATTAGAGCCAACAAAAAGGTGTGGAAATAATAACATCTCCTAACCTCTGCACTCTGTCCTATGCAAACATTTCCAATTTTGCTCAGGTACTGCAGCACAGGATGTGATAGAAGAATCTGAAGATAATTTCCTTTTCTTGCTCATGTTTTTAACCTTTTGCTGTACACTTCCAGCTGTTATATTTTCTCCTGTTCTTAATCTTTCCTGTCTCATGATCTGCCTGTGTCTCGTTGCACCACTTAAAAATAGATCATTGAGGCACCTGTTATTAACAATGATCTGTTCCGTGTTCCTGGTGACTAGTGGAAGCGAAGCTTTGCAGAGAGAAGGGTAGGGGCTTTCCCTCTTCATTACAGGGTAGCTTGAAATATATGGGGTTCATCTTTGTAGTTGACCTTTAAGCAGACAGATTTATTTTGGAACACCCTGGGCCTGGAAGAGGGCTGGGCAGCACTAGGAATTAATGCAAATGTTCCTTTTTTTTTCCACTGGTAGCAACATATACCTGTTGTGAGTGATGATGGGAATAAATAATGGACATGCTGTTGCCTGGTGCCTCTGTGCAGGATGCCAAGAGTGCTTTGGGGTTTTTTGTCTCATTTTAGAGAGAGAATTGTCATAGTGTTTTCATTTTGGTAATGACACAGTACTTTCCTCTTTAGACTGGTATCTGCTTATGGATCAAGAAGGTAAAGAAAAGCAGCAGAAAGCCATTAATTCATAAATTAATTCAGTACTTGGTCTGTAGCCAGGAGCTTTTAACAAATGCACTTTTTGCAGGATGCTTCCATCCTGTTGCTCCTAACTGCATTACTTAGGATTATTATTTACTGCAGCTCAGTGCTAAGGAATAAAAAAAGATGTGTCCGTTGCCTTCTCTTTGTCCTAGTTGCCTTCAAAATGGGTTAACTTAAATCGGTTTTCACAACAGGAATATGGTGCTTTTTTGGCAGATTGAGCCCATCTTGCCATTTATAGATAAACAAGTTTGTTACCATGGTATCGGAGCATTGTCGAAAAAGACGCGACACATGCCTATAGAGTAAGGTGTAAGAGGGATTGCGGGGAGGGTGGTGGGTGGAAGGATGTTCCTAGCAGTGGCTCTTGCCTGGTGAACCAGTGGCAGGTCAGGAAGGCCTTGGTGATTAGGGGGTGGCCTCCTTGCTAGAAGTCATTATTGTGGTTTTGGGCTCACAGAGGCAGCTGTTGCCCCACCAGGATTTAATGTCTTATGTAGGCACTGGCATGCAGTGCTGCCAGCACCTGATGTGCGGTTCCCTTCTGGGTACCCTCCACAGTTGTATCATTTGGATGTGTTCTGCACCGCAAGTTTTCCCTTTGAACCTGCTTGCTTCGTACTTTCATTTGGGTTAACTTGTCGAGTTAGTGCGAGTGAACTCGATTTGCCTCTGGAAGAAGGCTCAGGCCAGAACGCAGCCTCGTGCTGCAGAGGCAGCCTGCAGAAGCCTCCTGCCAGTGAAAGTGGGGGGGAATTTAGCTTAAATTTTGTAAAAATTCATCCTTTTTTTTTTTTCTTTTTTTTTTTTTCCCCAAGAGACCATGATAGCCCTGACTTTTTTGTCAATTAGTGAACTAGGTGTTTTTTTTTTGTTTTTTTTTTTTTTTTTAAATGAGATGGCAGGCTGTCTCAGTCTGTTCTTTGGAAGTGGTCCCATGTTTCTGATTAAAATCTTTACTCTCTTTTTGCTGTAAAATAATGTAGACTTTTTTTATCTTTGCAAGCAAATGTGGTTTTTTTCATGACTAGGGGACTTTTCTTACTTGTAGTGTAAAATTCATATTAAGTGATTTGTCAACCCATGAGAGGTGTGAAATACTCAATTCAGGAGAAAATAGTGAAAGAAGATAACATCTAATGATGATTTGTCTTTTCCCTTCACAGGTATGAAGAAAGTATTAGCAATAAGTACAGAGTGTGCTTTCCACGTGCTTGGCAGTCTCTTCTTTCTCCTACACTAGCCTTTTCCTTTCAGTCTGTGAGGGTTTTGATCATACATCTTCGAAAACTTTTTCATAGAGCCCCCCCATGGATAAAGAGAGGCTCACTTTTTTTTTCCCAGTACCTTTTTCTCCACCTAATTTTCCATTTAAAATAGCCATATATCTATGTTTGTAACTTAATGATATGTTTAAGTAGTTTATTTTCCCTGAAGTTACCTATTGGTGATTTATTTAAAAAAACAGAACCAAACAAAGCAAAACTTCTGAAAGATGGTGCCTGAGCATTTAACTCTGATTTTTGAGTCATATTTGTGTTCGTGTTCTGTACTTCACCACTAGTAAGATAGATGGAATAAAAAAGCCTGTACCTAAATAGGTCTGCCCCAGAGACCCTGCAGATAAATAACCAATAGAGCCTGGGTTGTAAATCTGTGAGATAAGTAGCCTTCATACCGATTGTAATCTGGGATTATCATGTATGTCTGCCTATTAAGTTAAAAGCCTTTAAAACCATATAGCTGAGAAGAGCAGTATGTTGTGAAAAACCACATGGAGGGAGAGGCTATTCCTGTTAGAAAGAAAGGATTATTTCTCCGACTGTCAAAAAGGAGGGTGGACTGTGGTGGTTTTGCTGTACAGCTGAAAATGTAATTGCTCAACAATATGAGTGCTCCTTTTTGGACAGGACTGCGTGTCTGCAGTCAGGCATTTAGCACGGGCCGCAGGATGGCCAGATAGTGGACAGATTTTCTGTGTCTGCTGTTACTAGGGGCCACCTTAGTCCAGGTCTGTAACTCAGGGCTTTTGCCATGCTGAGCTCTTTGGGGGCAAATCTATCCGGTGGTGCAAGCAGAAAAGGAGCGCTTCAACATAATCAACATAATATTCCTGTTTGCCTTTCCAAAGTTTTATTTCTTTATCATTCTTCATGCCCTGATTTACCTTTTTTTCTCTTTCCCCCCCCCCTCCCCACCCC